GGCTGACGCTGCCTGGGGGGAGGACTCTAAGGCAACAGCACACAGTTCCACACCCCGTCCCTGTCCCGGCCACCCGCGGCCTTTCGTTCCTGAGGGTTCATGCCAACGCTCCTGGGGATCGCAGTGTGGATGGCACTTGAAGCCTTTTTGTCACTTCTCTTGTCGCCCAGCAGATGTCAGTCATTCTCTTTACTCGGAGTTTCTCCTCCGCCAGGACCCTCTGCGGGGGGAAACCACCTTCAGTTGTCATGTCCAAGTGACATGCGTGTTGAACTGTAGCCACAATCATCCTCCCCAGTCGCCTATCGGGGACTCCAGGCGTCTTGTACTCAGGCAATGGCACATTCTTATTTTCTCATGTAAATTTTTAAAAAGTCTCCAGCTCAGTTTCCAACACGGGTAACTGGGAAATAAATGAGAAAGCAGGGAAGACACGCGGGACTTCCCGTCTGCATTTGAGGTGAAATGATTTGTGCTTTAGCGAGAGGACACGCCGCCGCTTGGTGCCGATGGCTTGGGATTTCCTCCCGCGTTCAGAATGGAAGTGTCCTGCGGCTCCTGGTGTGTGTTTGTGCGGACGGACCGTGTGCCCAGCAGTCATTCCTGCTGCGTAGCAAACGGTCAGCCACTGCCCGCTGCCTGCCCAGGGGTTGCCAGCAGAGGGCGGGTACCGTAGGAACAGAATCAAAGCCCCTAAGTTGTTTTTTATTTTTATTATTATTGTTTTCTCATCCTCGCCCAAGGACATGCTTATAGATTTTAGAGAGACAGGAACGGGAAGCCTGAGAGAGAAACACTGACTGGTTGTCCCCTGCACTCGCCCCAACCAGGGATCAAACCTGCAACCCAGGTATGTGCCCCGACCAGGAATCAAACCCACAACCTTTTGGTGGACGGGGTGATGCTCCAACCCACTGAGCCACCAGCCAGGACAAAAGCAGCTCAATTTAAGTGAGGCAAGTGTTCTAGCATTTCTAAAAGTGCGGAAGGGCCTCTTTAACAGAAAATACACTACAGGCCAGAAAGCCCAGGCGCCCTTAGGTGCTGCTCATGCTGCCTCTGTGCTTTAGATCCACAGCCTCCTTTCAGCCGGGATGAGTAGCTTATCCCTGAGCGTGTCTTACAGGGAGCGAGACTGCGGGTCTTCCTTCCCAGCAGACCCCGTTCTGTCCCGGGAAGCCTGGTCCCCGCTGTAGGTGGAGTCTGCCCCTTGCACTCAGAGGGTTTGCTGAAACAGTGAGGCTGGGCCTCGGTGCAGGTGAAGAGCAACACGGGGGCTTGTGCTCCAACCTGGTGGCTCTTCCCGATGCGACACCGGCTGGGCTGCTCCCAGGGGACCACCACCCCTTCCACAGACCCTTGGCGTCGACCCCAAAATGGGCCATTGCTCTTCATTTTCCTCTTGAGGCTCTTGGGCTTCTCATTTATGCAGCTTTTGGCTACAAACAATCCAGGTTTGAGGTCTGTGTGTGACACAGGAGTTATTCCCCAGGAAGCAGTGAGGGGCCGAAGAGAGCAGCCTGTGAAGTCACTTCCCCAGCATGATATTCGTGCTGCATTCGAGTGTCCCCCAGGTGGCAGGCGCGATGCTTGGTATTTCCATTTATGTCCTCGGATTTTAGTGTTTAAAAGGGTCTGCAGGTCACGTGATGTTTGTCATGATCATAGATGTGGTTAAACGGAATCGCAGAAATCACGTCATGTTTGGATGCAGGAGAGATGGCAGCTCATCCTTGCTGCCAGGCCCATGCTCTCAGCTTCTCCTGCGCCGCCTCTCTCCTGGGAACCAGGAGTGACCACGAATGAGTGAGACCCAGCCCTGATTTATGTGTATAAATTCCCCGGCTCCCGAGGACGTGCATCCATTCAGCATCACTGATAAGGTTATGAGTTCTGAGGTTTCAGTTTAAAAACGGGCACCAGTGAGGACGGTGGGGCAGAGGCACGGGAGCTGCATTTGGAATCCAGGGTCTCCAGGTTTCATCTGAGCCATGCCCTGCTCTGCCCTTGGGGTGGTGCCCTTTGGGATAGTCTCCTTTGGGCAGTCCCAGGAAGGAGTTGCTTGAGAAGATCACGTTACTGACTTCTGAAGTTGCCCCTAGGGGCAGGATTCCCTGCTGTTCTTCAGGACTGCACCCCAACTTTGTTTTAAAAGGGGTTCCCAACCCTCCCAGCCACCCAGGGCCAGCCTGAGGCACAGGCAAGCCTCAGATTGCAGCTGCTCAGCCGCCCAGGGCCAGCTGGAGGCTCAGGTAACTAGGGCCGCCTGAGGCTTGTGCTGCCGGCAGTGGCAGCAGCAGAGGTGTGATGGGGCATCGCCTTGCCCTGATCACCAGGTTGCCTCCTGCCCCTGAGGGCTCCCAGGCTGTGAGAGGGGGCAGGCCGGGCTGAGGGACCCCCTGCTCCAGTGCATGAATTTTCATGCACAGGGCCTCTAGTAAAAAAAAAAGAAAAAAGAAAATGTTATTGTTATAGCAGTTATGCAAGGATACACATTCAATAGAAGTGAAATTAAACAACAACACCATAACCCCTTTCCCTACAAGAGGGGAGAAGAAATAGAAATGTACTGATCAGTCCATTTTGTGAATCATGGAATTCTGGGCTTGAATGGTGAGCTGTGTATGGGTTTCCAAACATGTGCTGGTGGACAGTCAGAGCGAAGGCGGTGAGCTCCTCTCAGTGCACTTCCACGCCGTCCTCAGTGCCACTGTTAAACCTGCTTCTTGAGGAAAGGGAAGCAGCGCCGGAGGGACGGTGAGAAAAGTTAAGAAAAGTGACGGGAACAATAGCCATGAGTCACCGTGTGAGTGTGAGCCTGCGGCTGGCAGGTTCCCACGTGGAGCACGGCGCTTGCTGAGGGCTGAGGGAGGGGGAACATCCCAGCTGCTTGGAGAACGAGCCCCGCAGCCCAGGAGCAAGTTCAAATGCTGCAAGCACGGCGCACCTGACGTCACCGTGGCCCGGCTTCCTTGCTGCTGGCCGTGGGAACCTGATTGCTGTGCAGATTGGATTCACGGGCGCTTCCTCCCCACACAGTCCCACAGTCCCTTTCCTCTTGTTAAAGGGTAAAAGCACCCTTTCTATTAATTATAAATCACCACGTCCATCCGCAGAGCACGGCCGCGCTGATAGGGCCGGGGGTTGGGGAGAGAGGTGGCCCGGAGCCGCCCAGCCGCTGTGCTGATAAGAGGCCGGGGAACAATGGGCCCGTGGACCCTGGCGAGTGGCCCTTCCTGGCTGGTGTGGACACACCGCTGACCCATTTCCCAGGTCCCCAGCGGGGGCCCCGGGACTGCGCCGCGAAGGAGCAGGTCTAGGGGGTCCAGTGGAAACCTGGGGCCCTGCAGGTGAAGTCGGGCTTCCCCCTCCTCCCCCCTGCACCCGACCTTGGCAACAAGATCTCCTTTTCCTGTGGCTGCGCTTCTCTCTGCACACGCATCTCATTAGGAACAAGCATCGCACGGGAGGTTTATTTCGTAAGAACTTCAGTAGCCATCAGGCTAAAGAGTACAGTTTGAAAACGTTATCTTTCTCGTGTTGTCGTTTCACAGTGACTTAGAAAGACTGCCCACCATGATGGGCTCAATCCTCCATTGAGAAGGATCAGCCCGGCTGGTGTGGTTCAGTGGTTGAGCATCAACCTAGGAACCAGGAGGTCATGGTTCGATTCCTGGTCAGGGTACGTGCCCGGGTTCAGGCTCGATCCCCACTAGGGGTGTGCAGGAGGCAGCTGATCCACGACTCTCTCTCATCATTGATGTTTTTCTCTCTCCCTCTCCCTTCCTCTCTGAAATCAATAAAAATGTATTTTAAAGAAAAGAAGGATCAGACCTACCCCGCTGTTTTCCTAGTGCTGTGTCACTGCTTTCTCTCATTCTTACTCAGCTCCTAATTCTTCTAAGAAGCAGAGAGATATGACTCTTCCTCTTCAGCTGTGGGCAGGCATACGATTGCTCAAAGGCCTGCCTCTACCATGACCAGTATCTGGGGCAAAGGTACAGAGGTAAGCCCACATAATGTTTGCTCAATATCTAGAAATAATATATTAACCTAATGGAACATTAATTCAAATATGTTCTATTTTCCTACCTGGACAAATTTACCTTTTACTATGACTTGGACATGCAGGCTTGAATCTAAGCTTCCGGGACCACTCCACGCTCTGCCATGGGAAGGATGGCAGGCGCTGGCGTTGGCCCCAGCTCGTGCCTTGGCCTTTTGTCTCCCCATCCTCAGCTCGGTCTCTCACCACCAGAGGCCTCCCTTGCCAGGTGTGTGCATTTCAGCCCAGAAGCATTTCTAAGCGTCATCCATACCCTTTGTATCCAACAAACAGATGCCACTTGATCACCCACACGGTCTAGGAGTGGAGGCATTAATGGCCCCTTGACCCTCGTGGGCTTGGGGCCACTGGCAAGGCGTCTGGAACTCGTGTGTCCGGAGCATTGTCCTGCAGAGTTGATGTGGGCTCAGTCAGAGAAGAAGGTAATGACCCCTTGGTCTCCTGTACCCCTCAATCCTTACAAGGCCACAGCCAGGGGAACACAGCGTCCAGGACAAAGTACTGGTTACTAGAATCTTTGTTGAACAGATTGTATTTTATTGATCTACAATGACAAACCAAGTAGCAACTATAAGGCAAGGAAACTGCTTAAATTTCCTTTGAATTTGTGGATTTAAGACAGTGGTTCTCAACCTTCCTAATGCCGCGACCCTTTAATACAGTTCCTCATGTTGTGGTGACTCCCAACCATAAAATTATTTTCGTTGCTACTTCATAACTGTAATGTTGCTACTGTTATGAATCGTAATGTAAATATCTGATATGCAGGATGTATTTAGGCGACCCTGTGAAAGGGTCGTTCGACCCCCAAAGGGATCGTGACCCACAGGTTGAGAACCCCTGATTTAAGGGAAATAGGTATGTATGTAGCTATATATATATGATATCATATAGGAGCAAGCTATCCTGTCCCAAATGTCAATCCCATCTCCCTGACCTTTCTAATTGATGCTGTTTTTGAGACTCTGGTAGCCAAAGAAGAAAATCATTTTAGGGATGACCTCTGGATCCTTAATAGCCACTGAGTCACTTGCTGAACCCAATGCTGAAACTTCTTAGTGAGCGGGCGTTGTGCTGGGGTGAGGAATATCCAAGGACGATACCAGCACAGCGGAGATGAAACGTGGACCCTGTTCTCAGGGGGCTCAGTTTTTAAGCAGGTAATTATGATTGTAATAAGTGAGTGCTAATAAAGAAATGTTTAAGATACAATGGCTACGTGGATAGCTTTGGGTTGAGAGAGCCCTTCGTTTAATTCCCATCTCTACCAGTTACTAGCTTGTTAAATTACTTAACCCTAAGCCTTAACTTGTCCGTGACTGTGATGAGAAATCACACACCCACTCACACACACAGCCCTTACTATGTCACTAAGTACTTAGTATGCATCACAGCAACCTTAGGAGGTTGGGGCTACTCGCAGATTCACTTTACAGAGGAAGAAACGGAGGCACCCGAGGTCACTAAGGCACCCGAGGTCACACAGTTAGTAAGTAATGGAGCCACGGTGACCATCCAAGTAGTTGGACTCCAGTCTCTAAGAGCAGGAGTAATCCCCCTACTCTTCCTGCGAAGGAAAACGTTTTCTGGCGCGTGGTAAGGTTCAGTGCGCCATATTGTAACTATTGTTACTGACTGTACTGAGACAAAGGCCGCAGGAAAGGTCTACATCAGGAGCAAATGGGTAAGTTGAGCTTGAGGGAGGCTTGGGTAGCCCCAGCACTTTCAAACAGAGGAGACTAAATGGGAAGGGTCAGAAGAAGAAACAGGTAGAACTGGAGGCTATCGGGGCCACAGTGAGTGTGGGGGGTTGATGGGGCCAGGGCTGAACTGTGGAACTGTACACACCAAACTGAGAAACTTGGTCTTTATTGTGTAGAAGATGGGGAGATGACATGATCAGGTGACTTCCTGACTAATATAGTTTGTCATTAATAATGACAGATCAATACTCATGTACTGGGATCCATTTGAATCTAAAACTTGAGGGTCGGGGGTGAGGCCAGCAGCCAACCTCTGTAGCAGGAGAGCCAAAGAGCAAGAAGACATTCACCACTGCAGGCTGCACCCCTTCCATCGGTGGCTGGGAGGAAGCTGCCACGTTTTTGCTGCCGAGTGTGACTTCCGGAATGCACTCTTCATCGGCGCCCCCGATTCCAATGGCATCCGAGGGTAACTTCCATGCTTGTGTCTGATTGGATTTTTGTCTTTTCCCCAAATTAAAATACATTAAAATAAATTCCATGCAATTCTTACAGTGGACTCGCTCTAAGTACACAAGAATTCGATTCTTGTGACAATGTCTTTCTCCAATGTTTTTAGGGGACTGTAAGTACAAGATAGTGTGCTAGGTATTGTGGAAGTTAGCTAATCATTTTATGTAATTACATGATTTTTATAATTCAAATGGGTCCTGCTTATCATACTGTCTCCTTAGCCCAGACTCTTTCTTGTCTTAATAATCCTGAAAAATAATTTCCCAGTGTTTCCGAGTATCTACTACTTCCCCATCTCCCATGTCGAATGTAAAGCTACACTGTTTATTTAACAATTAGGAGTGGATTCAGTGGATTAGTACCACGGGTACCGCAGCGTGAGGCTGGTCCAACGAGTTCCCAGAGTGTCTGTATCACAACATGACCGTTTTTGGCAGAGTGAGGGCAGTGCTACTGTTTTTAAAGACCACGTTTTGATTTTTTAGAATACCCTACTTCAGAAATCTTGGTATGTCATAGAATAAATTTTAAAAATGCCTACATGTTAGAATTCTCACTGAATTGAATTTAATTACAGGTATACTTTATGTGCTTTAAACATACACAACTTCAACACATGTGTACACTACGCATTTACACGTGTGACTGTGGTAGTTCTGGGTTGGAAAAGTTGGTTTAACAATCTTGACTGAATTGTCCCGTTAGATAATTGGTTTGGACGTCTTTGGAAAGCCCACTCTACTTGACTGAATTGATTTTAGTGACCAATGCTGTAGTGTGGAGAATACTAGTGAACAGTTGCAGTATATTTTTGTACTTCGTGTTCAAGTGGAAACAAAGAAAGCTCTGTTACTACCATCCCAGCATCTATGCTCTGTTAACCTTTACAATCTCCTTCTGCTAGACAGACTCTCAGTATCTTTCTCCTTGTCAATGCTACAGCTGTGAGCCAGTCTCGTCGTGGTATGGGGTCATTTCTTAGTAGTCCCTTACTTTCCAGCAACACCAATTTTGTAGGGACAGTTAAGTCTTATGGGTATGTCACTTAAATAAGACCTAAGGAAGTCATAACCACCTGGAGCTTGGAAATAGCCATCGGCTGTCAAATGAGAGGTAGTTGACCATGCTGATGACTTCTTTCTGATGCTCTGGTGGTAATGATGATGGTACTACTACTACTAATATTGAGAACTTACGTTCCAAGTGCCATGGGGAAAATGAGGCCTAGAAGGATTAAAGGTCATGTTCAAGGTCATGCAGCCAGTAAATGGCGGGATCAACATTTGAACCTAAGACCCTCTTACTGAAGAGCAATGGTTCCTGGCCATGAAGCTCCACTCCCAGATTTGAGATCTGTTAGATGACCCCTGTGCTTCTGTCATTGGTTTTAGCAAATGGTTATAAAGCATTTCTAAACACACTTTCTCATGCCAGGTAGGCTCTTAACACATCACAACGTATGAACTCAAATCCTACAACAAGTTATGATCTAGACACAATTTTACATATAAGGAAACCAAGACACAGGGAGGATAATTAACTTGGCTGGTGTCCAGTGAGCCACATGGAAGATGCCCACAAGCTCGGTTGTTTCCAAGCCCCTGGGAAGGGCAATTGATGAGTCATGACTCCAGACATCGAGTTTCACAATCTCTCCACAAAGCGAAAATCAGCTATGTATTCACCTCGGATGCGGTAACAGAAAACCCAAAGATCAACCTCAGATTACATTAAGCATAGAGAAAAGGCAATCCGTGATTTACAGGGAATGGTGTCTTCCTTTGGATTATTTAATTGAAGAAGATAAGTGATATTTCGATCAAAACCGTGCTGAAAACTGTTATTGCTAAGGCTTTAAAAGTTAGGTTACGTTTTGTTTTAAGCTGTTTGTGAAAATGAGTCTTGAGGTTTTATAATCCTCAAATCGGCTTTAATTAATTTGTCAAATCCTTTTAGCAGAATTTGTTTTTGTGTGCCTACCAGAGACAGAGCTGTATTAGTTTTCTGTAATCTTTAAATTAGGTTCGCTCACATGACCTCATGGTCTGTATGAATAATCTAATTCACAGTATTCTGACCCAAAAGGGGAAACGTCAATCCTTTATTTTAATTTCCAGTATGCTCTGTCCCCTCTGGGATAGGTAATATTCATACACATTTTCTCCCCCTGGCAAAAAGCCCAATGATGCCATTCATTTATATGAATAACATAAGATGCAACTTGCAAAAGTGCCAAGATAAAGATTGGATACTTCAATAAGCATTGATAAAAGCTGACACTTTTGCTTTGAAATGGAGTCCACTCAGAGGTGTTTTAATTTTAATATCCCAATTAATTCACCAATCCAGGAAGGAAAGTTTCTTATCATACCTGAAAAAAATTTCTCTGATTTTGGTTCTGTGATTATTCTCATAAACTCTTTCTTCATATAAAAGAATAAGGAATGTGAGACTATGTTTACAGTCAAATATACTGTTATCCATAAAAGTTAGCTAGAAAGACAAGTAAAAAGTCAACATACAATTTATTTTAGCTTTCTCTTCTGACATCTTAGATTCACTTATGAAATTGTAGTTAAAATTAAGCTTTTTAAAAGATGCTATCCTTATAGTAACATAATACTTTTCATAAACTGGATAAACTTTGAATATAAGTGGTGTTTGCTAAAAGAAGATGTTTTATTTATGCAGATAATATGATAAAATTCTTTTTTGATCATATCAAAAGACTATGGCTCATTCAAGAATGATTGGTGTGTATACTTGAAATAATGCACCATGGTTTCTAGGCTGATAAAGAAGGGAGGGAAGACTAGAACTGAGCCTCTGCGAGAGCAGGAAAGCATTGAAGAGGTCCACACCATGCGTGGGCGCTCAGGAACAACTTTAGTGGGAGCAAGGGGTGCAGGAGCTGAATTCATTGATTAGTCCTAACAGGTTTATTTTGGCAGAGTGTTTTTTTGTTTTTCATGAACAAGATCATATCACCTGCAAACGGAAACACTTTTACTTCTTTCTCTCCAATTTGGATGGCTTTTATTTCTTTTTCTTGCCTAATTGTTCTGGCTAGTATGGGGAAGCACGGGACTTGGTTGGAATGTCTATAAGGAGGATTCTCCAAAAGGCAGGGGGCCTCCAGGTGGACCTTGCCAAAGGCGGCAGCCCCTGCCTTGACTTTTCCAAACAAGTCCGATCCCCTGGGTGTTTACTTAGACACGTCTTTGCTTAAAGGACAGGACAGACACATGTGCTTTCTTAAGGATGCTTACCCTGCTGATAGTATCTAATAGTTAATTTCAGTTCAAGCTGTTGTGACAATAAAAGGCAAAGGAGGCAGGTGAGCGAAGCTACTTGGTGGCTATAGCCAGGTAGTCCCTTAGCCTCTCTTTCACAGACACGTGTCAGAGTCATCATTCATCCATCATTCAGGGTCTGCCGGTCAGTCCCAGCAGCTAGGACTTCTAATAGTATGTTGAATAGAAGTGATGAAAGTGGTACCCTTGTCTGCTATTGACTTTAGAGGAAAAGAGGAAAAGTATGAGTATGTTAGCTGTGGAGTTGTCCTATATGGCCTTTATTATGTGGAGGTATATTCTTCTATACCTAATTTGTTAAGAGGTTTTTGCTCTTTTTTTTTATTATGAGAGAATGATGACTTTTTTCAAATAGGTTTTCTACATCAATTGGGATGATCATATAATTTTTATACTTTAAATGTATATTTATTTATTTGTATATCTTGAACCATCCTTGCATCCCTGAAATAAATCCCACTTGATCATGGTGCATGATCTTTTTAATGTGCTGTTGAATTCAGTTTGCTAGTATTTTGTTGAAAACTTCTTTTGAATCTATGTTCACCATGGATATTGGCCTGTAGTTTTCTCTTCTTGTAGTGTCCTTGAATAGCTTTGATATCAGGGTATGTTTGGCTTTGTAAAATGAGTTTGGCAGTATTTCCTTCTCTTCAAATTTTTTGGAAGATTATTTATTCTTTAAATGTTTTGTAGAATTCACCCATGAAGCCAACTGGTCCTGCGGGCTTTTCTTTGCTGGGATGATTTTGATTACTGATTCAATCTCTTTACTCATTATTGGTTTGTTCAGATATTCTATTTCTTCATCATTCAGTCTTGGTAGCTTGTATGTTTCCAGAAATTTTCAATTTCTTCTAAGTTATCCAGTTTGTTGGCATATAATTGTTCATAGTAGTCTCTTGGGATTTTTATTTTTATTTCTGTAGTTGATATCAGTTGTAATATTTCCTCTTTAATTTATAATTTCATTTATTTGGGTTTGCTTTCTTTTCCCCCTGGTTAGTGTAGCATTTGTCAACTTTGTTTATCTTTACATAAACCAATTTTTAGTTTTATTGTATTTTATTATTTTCTAGTCTTGATTTTATTTCTGCTCTAATTTTTATTATTTTCTTCTTCCTGCTAACTTTGGGTTTAGTTTCCTTTTCTTTTTCTAGTTTCTTGTGGTAGAATTGAACTAATATCTAAGTAAAGTTTATGTGTTACTTTAGTTTTTTTTTTCTAAAACATTTCCCCCTCACTTTTAAATTCCTTTATAACATTGATTTTGGGAAACTATCAGGATTTTTTTTTAGTAGGCTATTCTACATTTGAAGTACATATAATTGGTTCTTCTAACCCTAGCATTTTCTGTTACTTGGGAATTAGGTTTAAAATCTTATTTATATTCAGGTTAAACATTTTTTACATATAGTGAATCATAACAGACACATAATACCAGGATGTTCCCCAGTGTAAAGATTGGCCCTTTGTTAAGGTGTGACCACTGGATTTCTCCAATGTAAAGGTTATTTAGCCCTTAATAGTTAGTAAGCAACCTCCTGCTAACACTGAGCAAATATTCTGTTCCCAAACATCCTTCAACCTAATGGTTTTAACCTGCAATGTTTGAATAAATTATTGATTATTTTAAATACATTTTTTATTCTTTGAAGTCTGAATGTCTATCAAGTTGAGAGAACAGCCGAATAAAATAAAAATATAGG